AACTTGTACTGGCTTGCCCAAGGGCAGTGATTCTCCATATTGTCCCAATTGCCCTCGCCCCAGTCGACAAGATGCGCGTCCATGCACGGGACGACAGTCATTCATGGGTCCTCGTCGAAGTCCTCTGCAGTCGCTCCGTGGATCGTTGTCACACCGTTGAAATGCCGCACAGATTTCGCACAAGGACGAAAAGGTTATGCTAAGCGAATGTGCGTCTCGGCACTCATGGCCTGTGGTGTCGAGAAGATCAACTCGAAGATGCGTGGTGTCGAGAAGGTCCCCTCCATCACGCAACCTGCACACCACACACCACGCGCACATGCCCGACGACACACACGGCCGCGGAGACACTCGTAAACGCGTCACGTCTCGCGATGTGCGACGCATGGCATTAGACAGAGCGTATGGCCCAAGATCCGATTTCAGGTGGCCGGCTTCGTCGGTGTTCACATCTACCGGCCCACAGGCCAGCCGCAAACACGCCCCACAACATGTTCGTTTGAATCCGAACTTGGCGAGACTGCGCGGGAAAGACGAAGATGTCTCCCAAACTCGACGTCCCAAACTGCCAYGAAGTTCAGATCCAGGCGGACTTCACTTTCRTACGAATAAAAAGTTGTGGCAATCCACCGGTCGCCAGAAAGTCCACAGTCWGAACCCGCACCACCCGAAAGGTGAAGTACGCCGGGGTCTGAACTTGACGGTTTTCCGACGAACCGTGCACGAGAAGTTCGGATCTCAACGGACTTCGCATTTTGTCGAATCCGAAGTCCGCCGTGATCCGAAATTAACGATTGTCTGAGGAACCGTGCACGGCAGGTTCGTATCCATTACCCGCAGGAACATCTCCTGCCACATGCACTGCGAAAGGAAGATAGCTCAAATTCGTCGGGATCCGAACTTGGCGAAATCGCGCGGGAGATACACAGCAGGCGAACCCGACGATGGGACGAGGAACCTTTGCACGAGAAGTACGGATCCCGACGGACTTCGTATTTTTGTGAAACAAAAGTTGTGGCAAAGGGGCAGAGGGGAACCTGGTGTTTGACGGGATCCGAACTTCTCGAGACCTCGTGGGAGAGAAACAACCGGCGGACTACACATTTTTTCAAATACAAAGTTGTGCCAAACCCCCAGAGCTAGAAACCCCGCGTTCTGAACCTGCACAATGAGACAAGCAAAGTCGCTGGGGTGCGAACTTGACGTCTGTGGGAGGAACCGTGCAGGAGAAGTCCGGATCTCGGCGGACTTCGCATTATCACGGTTCCGAGGTTCACCGAGGTCTGGACTCGACGAGTGTGCAAGGACTAGTGCCAGCGAGGTTTGGATCCGCATGCCAGCAGGAACCTGAAGTTCGGAGACTTGGCGAAATTACGTGGGAGATATACACCTGTCTTCCAAACTCGCCGTCCTGCAATTTGTTGAAGTTCGGATCCCTGCGGACTTCAAATTTTTCCACGTCCCAGGCTGTGGTTCAGACCGAGGTTGCGAAGCGTGTTCGAGCAGCTGCATGGAGTTCGTCGGGATCCGGACTTGGCGAAATTGCGTGGGAGACGTACACCTGTCTGCCAAACTCGCCGTCCAACAATTTCTTGAAGTTCAGATCCCGACGGACTTCAAATTCTTACACGTCTCACGCTGTGGTTGCGGACTGGAGTTGCGAAGCGTGTTCGAGAAGCTGCATGAAGTTCGCCGGGATCCGAGCTTGGCAAAATTGCGTGGGAGACATACACCTGTCTGCCAAACTCGCCGTCCAACAATTTCTTGAAGTTCGGATCCTGGCGGACTTCAAATTTTTACACGTCCCAGGCTGTGGTTGCGGACCGGGGTTGCGAAGCGTGTTTGAACAGTTGCATGAAGTTCGTCGGGATCCGAACTTGGCGAAATTGCGTGGGAGATACACACCTGTCTGCCAAACTCGCCGTCTAGCAATTTCTTGAAGTTCGGATCCCGACGGACTTCTATTTTTCCACGTCCCTGACTGTGGTTGCATACTGGGGTTGAGAAGCGTGTTCGAACGGCTGCATAAGCTCGCCGAGATCCCAACTTCTTCCGGTGTTTGATTGCGCGATCAGTTCGGTTGGTATGGCCAAGGTTGTGCTGGCAGATTGGAACGGCCACGTTCCGATCACGAGAACAGTGTCGGCGACGCGTGGGGTGGTGGGTGCTCAACGTTCGCCGTTCAGTGACCGTCAAGTGCCGACGACCCTGCGTCCTCCATAGTTCGACGTCCGACGAGGTTCGACGCCCGTCGAGGTTTGATGTGGAGCCAGGTTCGATGTTATACGAGGTTCGATGTGCAACAAGATTGTGCAACAGCATTGTGACGAAGTGCTTTTTATTTGTTCGCAGATCAAGATCGACATTTTTCCGATCGGTTGTGTGTTTCGTTCGTCGGTTTCGATCGTGCACATGATCATTTGCCTTGAGGATTCTCCGCGACATGATCACTGTGCACAGAACAGTCGATTGGTCATGAAATCTGCCAGGATTAAGTGGTTGATCGGCTGCTCGGTTGGCGGTTGGTGTGGTGGTTGATCAACCAGTAGAGCAATCGCCAACAGAGCGGTCGACCAATCAGTTGATCCTGGCAGATTTCCTAACTGATCGACTGTTCAGTCGAGGACTGTCAGGTGGATAAATAAACAGGTCGCTCTCCGACGGGTTGATCTTCGGTGCAGCACACACGATCGATCATCCGATCGCAAGTAATCTTCTTTCGTTTCGCGATTGGTGGATTGGATGTGTTGTCACCTCGTGCATTGGTTAATCATCCGTCGGGCAGATCAGCGGCGATGTTGTTGGGGAAGCAAACAACATCCATCACCCAATCGGGAGTGGTCGGCTTGTGTTTCGTGATGGGTCGGTTCATCACGTGTGTGGTGTACATATTGTCATGGATCTGATCGACTATCCGATCACGAGTGATCTGAACACACAGAACAGAAAGAACAACACACACGCGGTGGTAACGTCGACACGGCAGACACGATCAATCATCCAATCGCGAGTGATCTCATCGTGTTTCGCGATTGGTCGATGGATGCGTTCGCTGTGTCGACATTGCCACCGCGTGTTTCGATTGATCATCCATTGGGCAGATCGGTTCGGATGCGGCGACATTTGGGGATCCCCCGAGACGACGTCGTGAACCGAAGCCAAACAAAGCATTTAGTGACGATCCGTATACGCGGGTCTGCGGTTTGTCGATCGATGCACCCTCCAAAAAAACGAGCATGTATTTCATCCTAACAAACACCACCGGTCGTGCCAAGGAGTTTCCTATGCAGTCCCGTATGTCAGCCGCTTTCTCCTCAACCTCATGCCACAACAAGTAGTTTCGAACCTGACCTGCTATCACCAAATCTGGCCACCCATCCACACGTTCAGGCCCACTCATCGGCACGAATTCGGACCCTTTAATCACAACCTCGTTGCGCGACACGAGCACAATTGCGTCGACGAGTTTTTTGCTCTTGTTCGAAGCAGCGACACACAGAACTCTGGCGAAATCAGATCCGGACACAGTCAACCGCACACAGCAGTAGG